CCGCCCTGAAGTGTAACTACATGCGACGATCGCTGAACAGTTGGAATCGGGCGACTATGTGCAAGTATGCGAAGGTATGTCTTCGTGCAACGCAACGAGGGGGTATATATTTCCCTCCCTTTGTGAATAGGTTTTCCCATTTTACACTTCCTACAGCAGCAACAGTAGCTGTAATGGCGTCTCGCTTCATCCCTCCCCTCTCGTATACTTAATCCTCTCGTACCACGTGTCGCACGCGTAACTCTTCACACGCATGTCGTGTATTTTCTGTTCGCTCCACTCCGCATGCATGCGCACATGTATCACTGCATCGCAGTGCGTGGCGCCGCGTGAAGATTCGATCCGCGTCGGGCCAACAATGCGTTGAGTTTCCTTTACGTTTGGTCGTTTCGTTTGTTCACGGTTGTTTTGCTAATTTGTTTGTTCGTTCGTTTGTTTCTTTTCCTGTTTGTTTCTTTTTTACCTCTTTTCCCGTTTCGCTTCCTTTGCGCGTTCTCCACCCTACCTCTCCGCCTCACGCGCTTCGCGATGGGAAATCCACTTGCGAAAATGTGCAGGGCTAAGTATTTGTTCGCCCTTGCCGTGTGTGTGATTGCCCTTCTGATGAAGGGGCATTCCTACAGAAAGTGCACCCGCAGTGAGGTTCCCCAGGGAAAGCTCTCTCTTTTTCTCGAGACAAAGGTGAAAAGGGGAAAACTCATCCGAAACGGTGGAAAGCGATGTGAAAAGTATCCGAGTCAGGAGGGAAGCTCCTCCCCCTTTCCGCCTCAGTTGCGCTTTATTCATTGGAACTAACTCCCCAGAGTTATCCTCCTCCCTGGATCTGTCTCGTCACATATATGCTTTTATCCCCGCTCTTTTACTGCTACTCCCTGCAGCTGGCCGACTTGGGAACAGCCGACCCCCCCTACACCGTTTTCAACTTCGCAACGGAAGCTGCCAACACCACTGACGTGTTAGAGGGTTAAGTTCAAAAGGGAAATCGCAAATTGAATGAGCAAAGAAAAAAAAAAAAATGTTCGTCAAAGAGATGAAGAAGCCAAAGTGCACTCTACGGGGTGTGTACCACTAGGTGGTGCAAACTGAGGGTTATCGGAGTGTGTATGCGTAGGCTCTGATCCCATGAGCATGTTACTTTCATTTCCTACTGGATGTGCTCTCTCCCACTCTGCGCAAATTCCTTTAAAGATATTTCCCTCCGAATGAGGCACACAATACTTCATCACCTCCGTTTTGCACGCCGCCTAAGATTCCACCTCTTCTGTGGTTTTTCTCCCTGACAGATGAGCTCAGGAGAAAGGAGGTAAGCGCCGCGAAAAAAAGGGTCACTTTGTTTTTCCACTGACAATGTTGAAGCGTTGCGAAGGAGGGACAAGCACACCGGACGTGGAGGTCGCCTGCGTGTGACACAACGTAGTGTCCATATTCCTCCCCGGTGTGTTAACGGAAAGGAAAGCGGGAAAGAAGGGAAATATCCGTAAGACGTGGCAGGAAAGCGTTCCTACAAAGATGTGAATGGCCCAAATGGAGAGGGGAAAAAAAAATGCCGAACGGTCGAATGAACGGGTGCACATGTTAAACCCCCTTCCCCATACCCGATGTGTAACGGTCCAAAAGATTGCCCAAATTTCTCAATTACGTTTTTTCCCCTCCCATGCTCGCAACACTGCTTCATGTACCCTTCTTTCGCAGAACAAAGCCATGAGGCGATTCAGGCACGACTTAGTAGGGAAAGAGAAGTTCAGCGAGAGGGTCCTCAGCTGCATCGGAGGGGTTCATGTTTTTGTGATGTGGCCCCGTTGCTGTGTGCACTTCTACCCCGCCGCGCGGCATACATTTTTCCCCCGGGTTGCCTTCTCCCTCCCCCTCCCCATCAGAGAGAAAAGAAGGAGCGAACCGCAAACTTCCTAGCCAGCCTTTTGAAAGACTCCCTACAGTTTTTCGACCCCAAGGCATGAGGGCAACTGAGACGCGGAGGCGCGAACTCCGCAGGGCAGAAAATATAAGCTGGTTGGCAACTAGTCATTCGATTTAGGCCCTTGTTTTTTTATTTCTCTTTTACGTTTACTTTTTCGTGTTTTCCCTTTTTTGTTTTTTCTTTTTTTTTCTGAGAACAATTCCCACCACCTGAACCGTTAAGTCCCCGCTTTACCCCATTTAAGCGTCGCTTCCGCGTGACCAGTGTGCGCAAAGGATACCCTCACCACCTTGAGTGGTAGCCCCAATAGCATGCAAAGCAGGATGACCCTCGCTGCCTGCCTGCAGGTGCGGCGGAGCTTTGCCAGGAGGGTGGAAGGGGGGCTGAAGCCCTCGTCCCTCAGAGTGCGAAGTGATAAGTCCAACTTCAACGACATAATAAGTAAGTACTTCCCAAATGCGAAGCTGCAAAGGGGAGCAAGTCGGCGTAGCGTTGGTCCGAGTAGCGACAGCACCGGGGAGAAGTACTACTTGTCTGCAAAAATGAAAAGAAAAGCGGAACAGATAAGCGGTGGTAAGGATGTGAAGCTCGCTACATTAGAAGGCGGAAGAGGGGCCTCCCTTCCGACAAGCAGCCTCACAGATTGGAAGGGAGCCCATGAAAATACAGCAACAGATTGTAGAGCAGCCCCCGAAAATACAACCACAGATTGGAAGGCCAACCAAAACGGACTTCACAACACCACGCAGCCAAGCGGGACCAACACCGGGGGGATGGAACTGATGGAAATATCGAAAGAGGATCACGAAATTCAGAAATACAAAAATAAGTTACACAAGAAAATATGGATATGTCTTAAACGGAACAACGAAAAGGAGTTTGAGAGATTACACAGAGAACTGAGCATGTATCATTTGAAGGATGAAGTGTCTTATACCATTCTGCTCCATGGAAAGCTCATCATATCCAAGGGCGATGACATAAAGGAGTGCTTTAAGCTGCTGGACGAAATGAAACAGAAGAAGGTACACCACTCACTAGTACGTTTAAATGAGAGGTTGCTGTGCAGCTATTATGAATTGGCCAAATTGAATGCGAAGCCGAGAACGAAGCAGTGGGTTAAAATATTAAGGACCGTTTGGTTCACCTCCGCTTTGATTAAGGCGAGGAGACAGAAGTTCATTCTACGGAATTTGACTCGAATTAAGAAAATGAAAGGGGATGGGAACTCTGCTCTGCTCAGCAACTTTAACAACATGTTTAACATTCACAGTTTGGAGTCACTGTACGTGGAGGGTAGGGATCCCCTCCTCGGGGGGGGTGGCCACACAAAGAGCACGTCCGTCTGCGCACCTATCGGTGGAGCAACCCCCAGATAACACAAAAAAAGGAAATGGAAAAATGGGGGAAAAAAAAATGAAAAAATGACAAAATGAAAGATACTGGGGGAGAAAGACAAAACTCCTCTCATTTGGTGACACCCTCAGCAGGGGTAATCAAACGGCCGGGGCAACCCCACGAGGGCAGTCACTGCGTGACCGCCGCTCCCCCTCCCCCATGTCAACTCCTATACTGAAGGAGCACATTGTAAATATCGTCAAACACCGTGTAGAGCTTCTGAACGGACTTGCACCCTGTGATGATAATCTTCCCAGAGACGAAAATTAAGATGACGGATTTCAGCTTGGACGTCGGCTTATACCTGTAGACGAGCCCAGCAAACAGCTCCGGCTCGTAATTGCAGTACTCCTTGTGGTCATGAGCCAGCATTTCCAGCCGTATCGGCATATTGCAGTCAGCACTAGCGATGATATTCTCTATGTTAAACCCTTCCAGCTTTACACACTCATTTGTTACCAGCTTAATTATTTTGCCAATTTTTTTACAGCCATAAATGGCATCCGCTTTGCTCTTTGTGCCAGTTAACATAAGTCTTCCACTCTTAAAAATGAGAACAGTGCACTTGGGTTTGTTCAGTCTAACAATCAGGGTGTTAATCTTGCTTGGGTTATACTCTGCGTTGCGTATGGATATGGCCACTAAGCGCAAATCAATGTCTAAAGAAAGATTGGCTGAGGCTATTATATTGTGAATCTTCACAGGTATCTTTTTGTGTACTAGTGTATTCTTCTCCTGTTTCGCAGATAACACTTCTTCTGTGTCTGAGTACATCCCCCCCTTTTCATTTCCCTCCTGATTGTACTTTTCTATGATGCCGTTTTGATGAAGAAACTCCTTCATGCTCTTCTCGCTGGCGTCGTCATCCCGCAGGAGCGCACTGAGGTCTCCGACGTCACAACTGATGTAGTCATCCATTGGGGGAGGGTGGAAACAGGGGCAAGCTGGACGGTAAAGAAGTCAAAGGGGCACCACAGAAGTGGGTGAAAAAAACGGAGCGCATGCGAGACGTTCTCCTTCCGGTTGTGCTCCGGCGGCGTAGCCACTAGGAAGCAAAGAAAACTCCTTTTACATGCAGGCTTTTGCGACCCGCGGGGGGCCAACCTGCTCACTGCCTGAGGCGCGGTTCAAAGGATGCAGCTACCCCTCGCGGAAGGGATCTTCCCGTGTTGCTCGACAGGGATCGGCCGCGACAAACAGGGAACATGGTAAAGAGAAAAATGAAGGTAACAAGTGGGAAAGAAGTGGGCCAAAAAAATGGCCAAAAATTACGACAAACGCTGCGATAAAACGTACTAAATGATATGGCGTAAAGAAGTAACGTAAAAAACGTGTAGAGGTTCTCATATGATTTTAAAAAAAAAAAAAAAAAAAATATATATTTTCCATAACCTGTTCAGGTGATTTCTTGCTCTCCGAGTTTTGTAGTTTCCGTGATTGCGACGTTCATTTTGGGACCGTTTCTCGCCGGTGGGAAAAAAAGAGGCAAAATTTAATCGGCTCAGTCAAGGGAATAAAGCAGACGAGGGAACCGGCAAACATATAAGAAGTCTCAACATATAAACAAGTCCGACATGTAAACGAATCAGCAACGACGAGCGCGTGGCACCCACAGCGGTTGCATCAGCAGAGAATAATTTCCAACCAAGCGGCATATTGAGCCAAATGGAAAAAAAAAAATAGAGAAGAGAAGTTAATCATCAAACTGAAGCAATGAAGGAAGAACGATCCAATTCAGCAGCCAAGTGATATTAGTGCGAGATCACCACACCCCCAGGTAGTTGATCAGCTCCTCTTCGGGAAAATTCCCAAATGGGAAAAAAAATAAAAATAAAATAATGCCAAGGGTTAACAAATCTTTCCCTCGAGCCAAATAATAGAAGCGACCCACCGAGGGGAAGCATTCATAAAGAGATATGATCTTCCCATTTTAGCGAGACCGTTCTTGTACGAATTGCCGGACGGGGAAGAAGTGGTAACTGCGTAAAATTGCTGACCCTCCTCGCTTTGAACCTCTACGTTGGATCCCCATTGCGTGCGTGCTCTGGCACCCTTTTTATGGATTCCCTTTTTGATGGCTTCTTCGCCTTCCGCTCACAACGGCCCCTTTTAACCTCCTAATTTTTCCTCCGCCCCAAGCATGCGAATAGAGAAGTGTTGGTACTGCTCGGGGAACATTTACCCGGGTAATAATCATCAAACGGAGTGACCCTTTCTCACCGCCACGATGTCACCCGGGAGGACATCCCCACCCTGAGGAGTCTCCTCCTATGTGCCATTTCGTTTCATTTCCTTTACTTTCATTTCCTTCCCTTTCCTCTGCCCCCCTTCCCCCCATAGGCCACGGCATATTCTTCATCCGAAACGATGCGAACATATTCCGGTTCTGCCGCAGTAAATGTCACAAGCACTTTAAGGCCAAGCACAACCCGCGCAAAGTCAAGTGGACAAAGGTCTACCGAAAGGAAAGGAACAAGGAGCTGAGCGCAGACAAGACATTCGAATTCGAAAGGATCCGAAGTGAGCCAGTAAAGTACGATCGAGATCTGTACATAAAAACAATCAACGCGATAAAGCAAATCGACAAAATTAAGGAGGCGAGAAAAATGAGATTTTACAAAAACAGGATTCAAGACATCTCAGAGAAGAAAATTAACTTGTCCTTACATTACATTAAGAAGAATCCAGCTCTTTTAAGGAACACCGAATTTGAGGATGTGCTTGGCGAGCTGATCAAAGAACAGCCGAGTAACCATATCGATTTCACTCTTGTCAAGAGTACCTTTGACCAAGAGGAACTCATTACGAACGACATGGAGGAGATGGGTCACAAGTTCTCCGCCGATGTTACTTCGATTAGGGACCTACAGGTGAGGCGTCACGCCGGGAAAAATAAAATAAAATAAGAAAAAAAAAAAAGAAAAAAACCAATAGTGCTCTCTTCACCTCGAGGCAGCTACCGCTGAGCAGTTCATCTCCGCGTGTAGTGCAACCCTTCTCGCAGTTGCTTTGTCGTACCCACTTGCGATCTACCTTTTTTCCTCAAACTGCAGGGAGTCCATCACCAGAAGGAGAACCAAAATTTGGAGTTAGCTTAGGAGGTGACTCTACCGGCAACCAAAGCCAACTTTTGTGACACCCCAGCACGTGACCATACGGATAGAGTCAGCCAATCTGTACACGTACACGTAGACATTCCGGTTGTAGCTTTTCCCAGGGGGGAAGATGTTCACGAAAAAAAAAAGTCACCAAAAAAAAAAAAATAAAAGGATCAAATGGCGGATGAATGAAGGACGCAAAAGGGACCCCCGAAAGGGAACCTTCTTCCTTGCCCACTGCACACTCATCTTATTTGTCTATCTTCGATTCTTTGTTTTATCGATACACGTCTGTGTCATGTGCATCTCACGTGCGTTTCATAAGTGCACATGGTATGCCCACCGTGTGCATTGGCACTCTTAGTTGCTCTCCACGGGGATAACTCTACGTAGAATTAAGCCGCTTTCAACTTTACGTCCGATTTCACAAACAAACTTGAGAGGTTCTGTCGCAGGGTCAGGAAAACCAGGTGGGCGGTGTTGTAGCCGTAGAGCAGGTTGACCAGGTTTTGGGCGCATGGTTCGGGGGGGGGGGGAAAAGAAATCGAAAAGAGGGGTGAGGGAAAGTATATCATTTCGTTCAGTCCGCATTGCGGAGCAGTTGCAAATGCTACTCTGTGTGATATGGCACGAGTGAGGCGTAGAATTGGCTTCTTTGTTTTTCTGCCTTGGTTTTTCCTTTTTTTTTTACGCTTGGTGCCCCAATACACGACGTGCTGCCGCGCACCCTACCTGTGGAGACGATCTTAAAGTGCTCTCCGAACCAGAGGTCCGTTTCGGCTGGCACGTAGGGCACCTGCGAGTTTCTGCAGGAAAGGTACTTCAGGGAGAGGAACAGCAGGGCGACCTGGATGGGGAGGTGAGGAAATGGTGGTATGGGGAAATGGTGGAATGGTAAAATGGGGAAAGCCAAAGATTCTTGCCGCTGCTGTTTCCCATCTGCACTTGAGCAGCTGTGCATGTGGGGAGATGACTATCTCTGTATGTGGCATGCCTTTCCACCCCCATGCCGCCTCCACCGCACGTACCGTTATCTGTGTGCGCACGATGTTGACGAAGGAACCGGTGGACGTCACCAGTGACGAAATGACATCGCATGTATGGAACAAATAGTCTCCTGGATTCTCCTGCTCCAATAAATTTCTTAAGTCATTCATATTTTTTTCTTCCTTCAAAATCTTCCTCGTGTATTTCCCATTTAATATTAACAAGTCATATTCATTCATATTTTTGTTTGACTTTTTATTTGCCTCTATCAGTTTTTTGTATTTTTTAATTTTCTTTTGGACTGTTTCTATTTGCTTCGTAATGTCCTGGTACTCTGGTGACTTTGTGTATTGACAGTAGTACTTTTTAATTTTCCGGTGGTACTTGAGGAAGGATGTCTTGACTAGCTTGTTTGCCCACACGATCCGTAGGAGCCACTGTCCCAGTTGCACTACGGCGTAGAGTAGGAGGTACAGGGTGGAGTTGTGCAGGACGTACGTGACGTCGCTTGGTTGGCTGTCCTCCATCGTGTCCCTGTGGGCGTTGTAAACAGAAGAGAAGTCACGAAGAAGCGGGCAGTATCAGATGGTATCCCGCTGAGCCGTCTGCAGTAGAACGCGCTGGAGCTTCCAAACGGCACACGAGGGACCACCAAACTGGCCAACAAACTGGTCAACAAACTCGCCAACGAAAAAACGCACAAAAGGGAGATCAACGAGTGATCCTAGCAATTCGAAGAAGAAAAAAAAAAAAAAAACTAGCAAAGGTATTCCCCTTCGCGGCGTTTTCTTCTTACGGTATTTTTGGCCCGCCGCTTGTATTTTTTTTTTTTTTTTTTTTTACTACGTAAATAATAAGCCAAGTGAGAGAAGGGAACAATTACCCCAACACAGAGTCTCCCACTTTTGGCACACAGAATTGAGTCTCCCTTTTGGGATATATCCTCCGGAGACGCTTCCGTTTCTATTTCATTCTATTTTTTTACTTCCATTTGAGAAGACAAAATGGCATCAATGAGTGAAAATCATCTGAATTTGTTGAAGCGGGTAAGGGGGAAAGAATCATCCAAAGGAATGAGAAGCGGGTCGCGAGCGACACACATAGGCTACTTCGTGGGCTCTTACCCGCGCCTGTACGTGCGGTTCCCTGTACCAGTACGCGCTCACGAACTGGAGTGCGAAAGGGCTCCATTGCTATCTCAGCAGCTGCTAATTTGCCAACCCGCTTGTGGAACGCCTCCCCATAGCTGAAGGAAATATCGAAGATGATCGAAATCACCCTGCAACAGAACAACCGGCTGAAGGGCATCCTGGCCAGTGAACAGTACTTCAGGAAGAAGTGCGAGGCGTCCATGGAAACGGTGGGGCGCGCAGAGTATCGGCTACCCAGGCGCTACCCAGGAGTGATTCCCCCTGAAGAGGCCCATCTGAACATTCGCCCTTCCCCCCTCCTTCAGATCGATAATACCACGGAACAGCAGGAGTGCTTTAGGAAGGTGTCCAAAATGTAGGCGCAAGGAGATGGAGAAAACACAGACGGTGAATTGGTCCCATCGGTGAAGGGAGGCATTGCGTGGGGCATCTTTCCAATGAAACCTTTCTGCACCGCTACACTGCTACACATCAACGGTTGATATTTTTTTCCTCCCCCCCTGCAGTTTCATCAAAAAACCACGAGAAGAGCTAAGAAACGAACTTAACGAGGAGATGGCCCAGTACGACAAGCACAGTCCGCACTTGGTGGTAGGAGAAAAAAAAAAAAAAAAAAAAAAAAACTCCATTCCCAGGCATGAACGGAAACGTGATCGTAAAGATGAGTATGAGAGCGAGCCCATGTAGCGGTCTCATAACGTCCCATTTCTACAACCCCCCCTCCACTTCAGGAACTGCGAAAAAAGCTCATAGACAAGCTATCCAACCTTAAGGATCAATATTTGCAAACCCACGAAAGTGTAATGCTTTTTTTTTTCTGTGTGTGAATAAGCGTGCGTCGCACTAGAGGCCGATATGGTAATGCAGAGAGAGGCCTACAACCCATTGTGTACTTGGTCCTTCCTTTTTTTGCAGATGGAGCGGGAGGCGAGCCAGGCGACATAAGAGGTGACAAATATACAGTGAACGATTGGAGCCTTTCTCCTCCCACCACTTGGTGACGGGACTTTTTCGAGTGGTTGATATATTGCCACCTGTAGATATCAAATTGGGAACAGTCGCATTTTCCTGCGCGAAGAGGCTGCACGGATGAATGAAGAGAATGTAGCCAATTTTGACCGAGGGAGCGGCGCCATAAGAGGTAGACGGCAACCGCGCTGTGATATGCGTAAGACGTCACATGTCTGGGCTGTGCCCTCCGTGAATTTCCTTTTTTTTTTTTGTGCATGTTATGACAGTACGTACGAAATTGTAGCTTTT